AACAAATTTACAGGTTATATAACAACTATCTACACTTTGTGACCATTTTATGGTACAATTTTCAATCGGAAATGTTGACACTACACACACTCTTTAGGGAAGGATCAAGTGAGAATAATACTACAAATTATTTAAATTCTATCACAAACAGAATAAAATACTCACCTGTAGCGCGTGTGAATCCTGAATAGCCAGTTGCACACGTGCATTGTACAAACATGAAATACTGATATACCGAAATTTGCGTGAAAACATTACCGCGAACCGCCATTATGTCGACATAGACGATAGAAATTTTTCCCTCAGCTATATTAGGGATTGAAAAATTTTCGTATGGTCTATGTCGGCATAATAGTGGTTCGCGGTAATGACCGTTCGCGGTAACGTCGTTCGCAGCAGTGTCGTGTCACGGAAATATTCAGTATCTACACTGAATACAACTACAATCAATGATAAAGTAGCTAAATATGAGCTAATCGTAACTTTTTTGTACAATTGTAAGTTTACGATATTTTTTCAATAACTTCTGTCATTGCCCACCGGTTTCGAAAATTTTTTTTTTATTTTACTCGCTGATGACGGTTCCACTACTACAGAAAAATTCGTTGCGAAATCTGGTGAATCCGCAAAGTTGTACCCATTCAAAGTCGAAAAATCCCATTTTCCGGATTATTCACCATTATACAAATAGATTTTCCAAAGACAGGGCAGAAAGGAAAAAAAAGTAAATGGGCCAGTTTGTAGAACTTTTATTTCTGTATCGACCTATGTTACTCATATTTTCCCGTCCTTTACCTTTTTTAATCATTCTAGGTCGAAAATACATTTGCACTCAAAAGTCTCATTTTGTGTAGAGCGACACAAAGCGCTTTCCAGCTCAGCACAGCAGCAAGCTGGAAAATTCAGAGTGGTCTAGAATGAAAGAGCTCGGAGCGAGTAACAAAATGGTGTAACTCTAATATACGGTTTTCCATTCTAGGTTTTTGAAAAATGTTCAGACTTTTAAAAAAATACAGTTTTCACTGAATGTGTAGAGCGACATTCTGCAAATCGAATGGCGAATAACTCCTAGCGGGCACATCAAACCTTTCTAAAACTAATAGCGCGAATAAAGCATAAAAAGTTGCATTAGCACCAAAAATTTTGAGGCTGCCTGATAATTGCTTATGTTAGAATTTTACGATGTTCTGCGAAATGTAGAGCGACGTTTTTCTCTAAAAAATGTAGAGCGACAATTTTTGCTCGATTTTCTCAGAATTCTTCGCTCGGGCCTACGCTTACCATACATCAATAGACTCGTCTGGTCATGGGCAAGCGATTTGTAGTGCTCCTAGGTTCTGGAACGAAAACTTGTCTGGTCCAAAATAGCAAACTGCGAAATTTGTTCTTTCACGAAGTAATGGCAACGAGCGACGGAAAACTTTATGGAAAAGATTTGTCGAGTGACACGGCAAAGTTACTAAAAACTAAATTTTAGATCCGAATGGCTAGTAGCAGTATTATGCCCTTTGTGATAGACTTCGACGTCATACGAAGCTCAGAACCGTAGCTTTTTCTTTTTTTCTATAGTTGTTTTGTAACACATTTAGTGAACTTTAGTGGCGTTTTTCGAGATAAAACGCGTTTTTTATAGGTTTTTTGCGTTTTTTCCCTTATATCAACTGCTAGTAGACTCACTAGATTGCTCGTCTCAAGACGAGTCGAATGGTATGTCATAAGTTTGTTTCTGGCGAGTATTTTGCATAGATTCCGTTGAAATCCTGTCGAGCGCTAGAAACAGACCTTGTTACTGAAATATCTCAGCCAGTTCGCGTCTGGTAGTTGGGAAATTTTTTGTGGGGCCTCAGTGAAGTGTGGGCTACAAAATGTACGACTCAGATTTTTTGGGGGAACACTTTCGTTTTTTTTCAATAACCGTACAAAAAAGTTACGATTAGCTCATATATTATATTCATTATAGCGAGTAAATGAAGATACAATGCGAGTTATCTCGCATTTATATAGAACGTAAATCTGTGCATAGCAGAGAAGACAATCAATACAGAAGTGATTTGCCAATTAAACACACATGATGCCCATAAACATAAGAAATATAATTACTGTTACATTCATATGTTTATTAATTCTGTATTTTTCATTGTATAACTGCTGCTACATTCTTATCTTTATTAAACTATTGGAGAAGATAATGTTTACATGATATTCAGTTGTTGCAAATAAATGAAATGCGTATTTTATTAGTGTTGGTTGCAGCGTCAATCCGACATGATGTGATTAGAGACAGAGGTAAAAGTCTAGTTGAGAAAAGGTGAAATTTGCTGTGAAACGCACTTTGGAATTCATGTCCGCTGAGTTATCGAAGCGTAATGTCGAGGTAAAGATAAAACTGGAAATGATTGTCAAAATGTAGAATCGATAGAGCTTCGACTGCATAACACATTGGTAGGAAAATATAATTTGATAAGTACTTTGTTTGTATAGAAAATTCTATTATATTGTTGGGAGTGGAGGGTTTTCTCATAAAATGTCCGGTGATATTTTCGATTTTATTTTTTCCATACCTTGGTAAATATTACTCGGATCTCAAACTCTGATCATGTTTTGACTATATGCGCTTTGATATTTGGTAATAAGATAAATCTGAAATATTGCACCATGGAGGAGAAAGGACAGGAAACGGTCTCTGCTAGAAAACGGACCCGGTATTATTTTAAGCGAAAATGAACAGAAATGCTTCACTTTCCAACACTTCTAACTTGCAAAAATTGCTCCTGATCTCCTTGAAGAAACTATTTAGAAACTATCGTCACCAGTTCAACGAAAGCCATTCACTTTGTTCCTCAAATTTTTCCTACGATTTCAAAGACTTTGACCAAAGTGCACAGTTCTACCATCCCTAAATCTTTACATCTTCGATCGTTACATTTCTTCAAATTGTTTTGAAAATATTATTTATTTAAAATATTCATGACTTTTAAGGGACGATTGCACCGAGCTGAGACTTGTCGGATTTTGTAGGGAATTTTGTTCTCTACAAACTCGTGGTCTCGTCTGGTAATCGAATGTTTTTCTTAAAAAAGACCTATATCCTTCTCTTAAGTAATAGTGATCTAACCTTGATCGTTGTCCTTCGTAGACTCGTTCAAGTCGTCTAGACTGCTAAATGTAGAGACAGGCATGTATAATTCTTCGAAGCCTACAAGGATTTGTAATAAATAAATCAGATCTTTAACTCTGTACGATGAATTTTCAACAGTTCCAGTGACGTCCCTAAAGGAGCTGGAGTTCCGAAGTGGATAAACAAAACTGGATAAAGTGTGGCGTTTTCGAAAATGACCAAAGCCGGTCAAGAATGATGAAATTGGAAATGGTGAAAGTTTAGCGCTCGTCCTGTATTGTTCCTTTTATACTTCTTATTATATTAGCACATTGATAAACTCGATTTATACTATATATACTAAGACCATAGGCAGATTTAGTTAAATGACTCTGAGAAGTAACGTAGCCGGTCTACAAGCAGTAGATAAAGGGAGCCGTAAGGCGCCTAGGAGAAGAACTCCGTGCCTGAGACTCGAGTCTCGTGCGCGGAGTACTTATTCGATCTAATCAGATCGCCGGGAAAGGGGATCTTGACCTCATTTAGGGAAATGGAGGTCCCATGGGTGTAGGTCGAAGGGATAAGAAAAAAATATTTCTGATTATCTAATAAATTTAACTAGTCACAATTAGACGTGACTTCGCTAATCACGATTAATCGGAGCACAATCAAACTCGATCTGAATTTCAGCTCCGAACAACTCCTAAAAATACTGATCGCGGTCAATCGAGACTCTGACGTAATCGGGATTTTATAGGATGAAATCGCGATGAATAATCAACGATCGAGTAGTCGTTTGCTCGTTGGGTTAGCATTTAGTCGCGATTTTAGTAAAATGCTGCGCTAATCGAGACTGTTATATGACATGACGATTAATTGCGATTTTGATTGAATCGCCATGAGCTGTGACGGTCCGATTAGCCGGTTACCAAAACGATCAAGCCAAAAAAACCTCATGGGATAGCGTTCATCATGCTGATTCACTTATCCCTTGACTGGAAAGGAATCGCCAACATCAAAAATACTCGTTTTCCCTCTGCTGAATGTGATGAAAGTCGAATAGACCGTTTTTGTCGGTCGGCTCTATCCAGTCATATAAAAATACAAAACGTCTTGTGTTTGGCAGAAGTACAGTCAACTGACCAAAACTGTTTGGAAATAAGTGAATCAAGCTGTATATCCTCGGACTTGTGAGTAGCATAGCATTTATATTTCCTAATACAGTGACATATCTGGAAAGAGCAATACATGAAACCATAACTCACTTTCATGATAATTGCCAACACGACCGCATCCAATAACAAGGACAAACATATCCCTGGACCACTTGCCAGAAAGGTGAATATGCTTTCGACAGCTGTCAATGCTTTCCCACCTGCAGCCAAGCCGCCATTAATTGTTTCTTGCGCTGCTTCCAAGACGGTTTTGTCGTTTGAATTGTAGTCAAAACCAGGTCCAACTCTTCCGAAATGCACATGGTTGTTAGAGCTATCTGTTTTCACACTATAGCCCGTATCACGACCATCTATATTCGTCTGAATAAGAGGCATTCTTGCTCTCTAAAAATGTATGAATTAATGTGACTCTTATGCTAACGAAAATGGTTTAAAAATAAATAATAATTGAAAATACAGCGTGATTATATATATGTTTCTTATCTGGAAAACTAAAGTTTTTTCGATAACCTGTATTGCTTTTCTAAGTCGTCTGTGTAAACAGTTGTCTCGAGGACTAATTTTCACCGCTTGACCTCGTTTGTGTCTGTTTTTTATAATATTGCTGATAGGTCATTGTTCAACCAAGAATGTGTTAAACTAAAATGGTTTAGACTGATGAGATATAAGTTAGATAAACTCATGTCTCATCACCAAAGAATTCTGCATATTTCAACTACAATGGATCTTCTCATGAATTCTGTCCACGACAAGTATAGAGTACTGATTCTACCAGCTGAGAAAAATATGGGGTATTTACCAAATTTTTGCGAAGCCAAGTATATAAATATCACAGATAATACAGTAATTTAGGCTGTCTCAAAAAAGAGAATATTGAACCATCTTAGTCAAGTGATAGGACAGAATATATAATATATGTTGAAATTGAAACTATACTTTGGTTATATTCTACTTTAGTTTTTGATCTAACTGATTTGATTATTAGAGAGGCATAATTTGATCTTAACATATTAGTCAAACATTCTTAGTTAGCTTTTGTTATCGACCAAAATGTATATACAGAATAATATTAAACAAAAAACAGTTTAGTCATGAGGAAAAAGAAATGAACGGAGTGAAGCTAAGAAAGGTTTTAGCAGATCAATGTTTTGGATGAATTGAAAGCAATACTCTGCTGTCACTTCACTAAGTTGGTTCAATATTCTGTTTTTTCAGACAGCCTAAATTACTATATTACCTGTGATGTGTGTATTCAGTCTGTTTTCGTTATTGTTATAGATGGAAAAATTGAATGATATGCTTGCTATTTGATCATCTTCTTCAAATTCGTTCGGTTATGTTCGGGGCACGGCAAACAATTTTATCTTATAGAAATAGTAAGAAACAGATATAAAAGCCTAGACGAATAGAAAGAAGTAACTGTTTATATTACATGATTGAAAGACATCAAGTTGTTATCAAAAAGCCGTCACTACTTTTTTAGGACACTGTAAAGTGAAAGAATAGATCAAACTCTCAAACAGTTCTATATTATTATACTACAGAAAATATGATAATTGATATATCGTTATTTAACAGAAAACAACATCATCAAATAACTGTACACGGTAATAATTGATACGATCAGTAAACAGAATAACTTCTTCTCTATCGAGCAATGTATTTTTCTTAAGCTGAAATGTCAAGAAGAACGAGAAAAAATAATAAAAACATATGGTATCAAACGTACCACGTTATTGATGATTCATCTCAATGTTCACCGAATATTTTCCATGTGTTCAGGCACTAGTACAAACAAACGAAAATTATTTTCCTACACCTTAAAGTCTTTCACATAAGATTAGTTTTACCACTTCATTTAACGCTTCATACTTCCGCACTCTTGTGTACCGTTAGCTGGCCAAGCCGTTATGCCTTTTGAGACCCTCCATGTACCGTATTTCATGCCTAAGTAATACTCTATAAAGGCGCATAAATTAATGATTTTTTTTGTCATATTTACGCCTAAATTTTTCATACGGAAGTTCGTTCATTAGAAAACGATGAACAACGTAGTGCTCGATTAACATCAATTAAGCATCATGCCCATGAAGTTCGTTCATTACAAAATAGAGGAGAACGCGATGCATGATTAACATCAATGAAACAACATGCACAAGAGACACGAACACAGCAATCCCCAGAGATACAAGAAGCACAATTACTTCAAACGTCAGAGTGTAGAAGAAAACAAAATTTGAAGAAAAAGAACAATAAATCGTTGATCGCATGGCCCCAGAGAATTTCAGATGAAATAAAAAAGAAATGTTTACAAAATTTCGTGGAACAAGTATCGATGTCGAAAATTTCCGAGTCAACATGTTGTATTTGTCATATTCGATCCCCTACGTGTAAAATGACGGCTTAGCTAATTCTACGCGATTAAGGAAAAACGAGGCTAGTGTGTTTTCTTTTTACCTAATGCCAGGTGCTCGGACAGATTTTTATTTCATGGTAAAAAAAAATGAAAATTCAAACACCTCTTGATTTTCCATGAATTTATAAATGCAAAATAAATTAAGTTTTGAAATATTTTGCTTCTTTTCAGTTGGCAATGATCGTGACTCGACTAATGTCTATTATGAAGATGCATTGTTGTACAGAACTGGCTTACATGTAAATGATCGTTTACAAGATTCTTCAAAGTGCAATATTTGCCATCAGTGTTGGCTTGATCTGACGGCAAAAAAGGCAAGAGTTCCGAAATTTTCATCGAGTAACAACATTTGGATTGGTGATGTACCCCCACAGCTGAAAGATTTAACATTACCTGAAGAAAAACTAATTTCTCTCTACAGACATAGTAGCTGTGTGGTGAAATTACATACACCGTTTTCAGTTCGGATACTCAGCAATCAGCATTAAGAGGCAACGTGATCACATTTCCACAAGATGTACAAGCCTCTGTAAAACGTCTTCCACTATCATTAGACAAGTTAGCAAGCACAATAAAAATTGTTTTCGTTGGAGCACAAGCCTTACCACCAGATCTTATAAGTCTTCGAGATGTTCTTACAGTTCGAAAACAAAAAATTATCGATGCATTGCAGTGGCTAAAGAGATACAATCTGTTATATAGGGACATCGAAATCGATATGGCCAGTTTAAACAAACTTCCAATAAACGATATACCTGATGTTCTGCTAAAAACTATGCACATAGAAACAAATGCTAAGCCAGCCGATGAAGCAAGGACAGGTTATGTCATAGAAACGATAGATGACCCTGATCTTGAAGAGGATAATCAAGTTCAAAATAACACTATTATACCAGTTCAAACGAGTGGTGTATTAGATGTTAATGGATCTAGTGTTCGTTCAGGAGACATCCATTGTCATCTTTTACAGAAGCTTAAAGTTGATTCGGCACAAACAATAGATTCAGCAAATGAAATAGAAAGTGGGGATGAACCAGAAGCACAACATAACACACGCGCAACAAAAGAAAATGAAAACAAAAACATTTTCCAGATTCCACGATCTGATAGACCAAGCAATGAGTATTCTAACCCAGACTTGCTTATAAGTAAATTAATACAATATTTGCCAGTAGAGTATTTCAATTTAATTTTTTCATGGTTCAGGCCTATTTCCAACATTATTTCCCTATGGTGTAGGAGGCTTGAAAGATACTTCGAGAAAGACAAAAGTAGGGCTGTCGGAGTTCCGTTAAAAAAAGTTCCGTTATGCCACTAACTCAACTTTTTTTCAGTTAGTAGTTATTCTAACTACTAACTGGAATAGTTAGTAGTTGGAATAACTGACTAACTTTTTCGTTTAGCAGTTATTCTAGTTAGTAACTACCTTAGTTAGTAGTTGTTCTAACTACTAACTGGAATAGTTAGTAGTTAATTTAACTACCAGTAACTACTAACTTTCATAAAAACACACGCTGAATGTTTTCTTATAAACTTTTCTTGCTTAATCTCAGTTACGTTCGAAGCTGACTTTAAGATGTGCTCAGCAATTGGTGCGAGATATAAATCATTGTTTTTTCTGACATTACGTTGCTATTTTCTGATTTCGAGCAAATTACTTTTATCACAGATATTAATTGAATGCGATTACGTAGAATGAATTCAGAAAGTATATTGACAAGGGTTCACTACACGTTCTCTCCTGACATTTTTGTGTTGCTGTCTATAATATGTATACGGTGCAAACATTTAGGAGTTTGTTAATATTGACCAATCAACGAGAACGAAAACAGCGAATTAGAAAATTTTATGTGATCAAACCATACATCCGGTGTCAGTTCAAGCTTCAAAATTCTTATGAATGATTGTAGTAAATGATCGCCTTTTATGAATAAGTTAGAGACTACGATCAGAACGAGTAAAAAGCAAAGAACACAGACGTATTAATTTCGTAAATTCATCTGTGTCCACAAGTTCCACGACACATAAGGACTATGTTTTTGATCTGATATTTTTTTCCCGGTCCTGGGTTGCTCCGTTCGTTTTTAAAAAAGTTTTCGAAAAATTCGAACTCTTTTACTCTTTTTGTACGAAAATAAACACTCGAAATCTATCGATCGTCATGTTTAACGGCAAGATTGTCGTTTTCAGTTCAAAAATATTAACATTATCATCATGCCTTTTGTATCCAGTCACTGACTTTTGTATCCAGTCAAAGACTTCAATTTTGTGTCGTTTGACTGCTAGAATGTTCTCAAGTGTCTCACTCTCACCACTCGCCACCACCTCTGTTGTTCAGGTTTTTGCACTCTTCTAGGGAGATTCTTGCGTGAAGAACATCGATCGACTAAAAAACCGAACGAGCGTGGCCAGTTCGATTCGAAAAACAAGATTTGACTGGAACCCCCACCTTACGGCGCCGGGAATACTCAGAAGTGTTCTTTCTCCTTTTTGTTTTGTCGGCTGAGTGCAAGATTCTTGTTCAAGCAGAATGTGCGTCCGAGAAAAACAGGCTAACAAGCCCTTTATTTTCTCCGTTTTCGATAGAGGGAATAAAAAGTTCCTTCTTATTCAAAAAGCGATATACACACAGACATGTGCTTTATTTTCGCCTTTTTCGGACAGAAGAACACAAGTTCTTTTTATCCATAGAGAAATGTGCTTTATTTTCTTCTTCAATAAGAAGAGCATAACTTCTTATTTAA